CCCCCCCACGACCCCTCATCTGCCCCCGCAACCGTCCCCAGACCCTGATCCCTTTGCACCCCCGCCACCTCCCCGTTTTACCCCAGTTTTACCCCAGTTTTACCCCAGTTACGTGGCTGTTGCACCCCTCGAATCCCCTCGTTTCACCCCCTCGTTGCACCCCCTCACCCGTTGCGCCCCCGTTACACCACACAGCCCTTCCCCTCCTCCCAGGCCCACCCTGTTCCCCCAGACCCCTTCAACCAGTCCTGGTCCTTAACACCCCCAAGGGACCACCAGCCGATGGGTGTTGGGGGCACGGTCGCTTTCTGGGGCTGCAGAAAGTCCCCGGGGTCTTTTGGAACCCCGCACTGGATTCTCCCAGAAAAACATTGAGGCTGGGGGAGGAAGGGAGGATGGACACACAGTAGTTTGCCTTTTAACATCGCTGATATTTTTGTGTGTCTCCCCCCCACCAAAAGGCTGCCACGGCCCCCCGCATCCCACCCACGCGGTTGGCCCTGCACCACTTCGACGTGAGCTACAGCCTGCAGCTGAAGGACCTGTGGCCCTCCGTCCGCGCCGCCCTGCTCTGCGAGCAGAAGTACGGCGCTCTCCTCAACAGCTTCTCCGCTGTCGACCACGTCGCCCAAGAGCTGGAGCTGCTGAACGCCACCGATTTTGTTGCCGAAGCCCCCAAAAAGGCGCAGCGATGGCAACAGGCTGCAGCTGCGGAGGAAGCGGGGAGGGTGGAAAGTGTGTCTGGAGAGGGCAGGACGGTGATGCAGGCAGAGACGATGACACGGGCAGAGATGTCACCACCAAATCGTGCCTCTGTCAGCTCTAACATCAAGTGTTACACCTTCCCCAAGGGCGACATCACGCGCTTTCGCCCTGCACGGTGAGACATCCCGGGGACAGACCGCCCGCTGTCGCTGCCAGCCTCGGGGGGGGCGAGCACCCGCTGCTTCTGTACGTCCCCATCGTCACTTCCAACTGCTCTTCTCTTTTCCCCTCACACGTTTGCTTTTTTTACGCAAACTGGTGATTTCCAGGCCGGATGCTCTGGGGCTCCTTGACTATTATCTCATGGACGCAGCATCTCTCCTGCCCGTCCTGGCGCTCAACGTGCGGCCAGATGACTTTGTCCTTGATCTCTGTGCGGCTCCGGGTGGCAAGACTCTGGCTCTGCTGCAGACGGGGCTTTGTGGTAAGTGGAGGTGGGCGTTCCTTGTCCCCGTGCGTAAAACGGGGCTGGGAGAGTGTGCTGGGCCCGTTAATGTCTGACCGTTAATCGTCTCTGCTTACAAGAGTTGGGAATCAGGTGTGGGTTTGCCAGAGTCACATTCCCACTGTGCCTGTTTTGTCCTCTCAGGGCATCTGGCAGCCAACGACATCTCCGTTTCCCGGACAAAGAGGCTGTACCAGATTCTCCATAGCTACATTCCCAGAGAAATCAGGGAAACCGTGAGTGTCACGTCCTGCGATGGAAGGGACTGGGAGCAGCTGGAAGGTGGCACTTTCCATAAGGTAGGTGATGGGGAACTGGTGAAGATAAACCCATCTAGTTCACTTTCCTCCTGTTTCAGAGGAAGGCAGCAGCTTATCCTACAGTATAATTGTATAGTTTTCCATAATCTTAAATGCAGAGAAAGAGAGAAGACTAAGCCACATATGGAGCAATATTGCCTCGTGCTATACCTTTCCTGCAGGATCTGGTGCATATGGGCATCCGGAGCTGTACCTTTATTTACCTGTGTAATACCCCTTAAAAATCCTGTTCTAATCCATCACCTGGAAGGGGGTTAAATGTGAAGATTAGATAATTCTTGGTTCTTGGCTGTGTCCAGCCGCAGGGGTTGGCTTTGTTACCCTGGGAGGTGTCACTGCAGGAGCTCTGGCCGCGCGTGGTTGCAGCCGTAGGTGCTGCAGTAACGCCTGCCAGGAAGATGCGCAGAGTCGAAACGTTAAACGAGGACACGTGTGATGTTATCTGCCGTTTCTGTGCC